CATAGTTTCGAAGTAGGTTATTGGCAATTTTTGTTTCTGTGACATCACAAACTATTTGGATTTTGCATTATTTTTTAGAAAGAGGACAATAATCAATATTTTTCAATTTTTTACTAATATAATTTTTAGAGATATAAAGCACAAACCTGCTCCATAGCGATATTCAGTCATATTATATTGATATCATCATTCTACACATTATCAGTCTCAAAACATTGAGTTGGAGCAGACCTGCGCTTAGTGATTTTTACTCAAAATTTCAACATGATGCAGTGATTGGGAAGGCTATCAAGGTCAATGGGACTATGGCGCAACTGTCAAAGTTCTTAAAGGACCATTTTGTAAATGAATGGGCCATCTATATATTCTGATTTTAAGAAAAAAACAAAATGACAAACAAACGTCAAATATGAAAAGAAACACGTTTCTTCATTAACCAAATTTTATTTTTCACGCATGCAGTGTAGCACATTTATAATAAAGGAACCCGCAAACAATATAATTTTTGTGTATTTTGGATCAATAATGTCAAAATTTCAATTAAACCCTAGAAATGACTGAGTTAATGTACCTTTGTTGTCCTAAATAAAGCGCTTCATGTAACAGGAAGCAGTTTTTGCCATGTTTTAACCAATGAGATTTGTTGTGTTAAAATGACTGCATTTAAAACAAAAGTAAAGCACTAGCAAGAAAGTCGTACGCAAAATATTTCCAACTAACATCGCTAAAAGGATGATGTGACATACGGCCCCCGGTAAATTGACAAAAAATTAAAAGTCCAAATTTTAGTCTAATTTTTGCATGCAGCTAATCACTGATATGTGTACCCTTATGGAAAACTACTTTTAACAAAAATAGAAGCATAATTTGGAAGATATAGATCTTTCATTTTGGTAGGGGTACCACGTTTACATCCGATTCCCATTGAATTTTAGCCCTGCCCCACTCTTTGAAGCCCTTAAAATATACGAGCGCAAGTAGGTACATTTTTCTCCTTTGGCTGGTCACTGTATTTTATTGAAATCTACCTATATGTGAAAGGAGAAAAATGTACCTAACTGTGCACACATGTTTTTTTTATAAAAAATGGTAAAATCTAGCTGGCCTTTCCTATTATGAACAGATCAACGAAACTATTTTTTTCTGACGTAAGAATAAATTCATATGCTAATCGAGGCATCGGCGTGACTTTCTAACTGACCAATCAGCTAAATGAGATGCATTACGAGTGAGTGCCACAAAAATACTAAGGAAATTTAATACTTGGAAAAAAGGCTTTTTTACCTACTTTCCGATAAACAAATTTTTATGCATTTGAGTCACAGATTAGGCACGGATCTACAATTTCCCAGCTCATAATTACAAACAATTGATTTATATATATATATATATATATATATATATATATATATATATATATATATATATATATATATAATTTAAAGTTTTGTAAAGCGTTTGGTGGGCATGCAATGCGCTAGGTCTACACGTATCAGTGAATACAAGTTTCATGTGCATTTCTTGACCCAGAACGGTAAACGCTGAGGTTCCATGCGTATTATTATGTATACTAACAGCCTTGGCTGACAATTAAAAGTTTGAAATGTAGTAGAGATAATGTGTAAATTGACCTAAATCACGTGTCTGTGATAAAATGTAAACATGTAGTAAACGACAGCATGTTTTGTCGTTCTGTCATCGGATTGGACAATTATTCTCGGTAAGCGACTATGTGCGAAATAATAACAATAGCCATATAAGGTAAATTTCTCGGACATGCATATCCCTCTATTGTACTAAGACCCGCCTATTCTCTTTTCATAAAAGAACATATTGTCACAAACCTGGCCGAATGTTAATGTCATAGGGTCTAAAAAATCATAGATAATGCAGTAATCCTTATAATTAAAATGTGTCGGAACTATTGAAACTATTCAAAAGGCGTCGTATTTATTCACTCATGTTTGAAAACTATCAAAATCGTTGTAGATTAAATATAATTCGTCATAGAAAAAGGGGCCCCAGATAGCAGTTATGTCACATCATCCTATGAATGCGCACCTTGGCACTACCAATAATCGATTTAATGCGCCAATTTTCACTTCAATGCAACTAGCCCTTCCCAATCACTGATGATATATGGTATACCTTTTTTCTCTATAATTCATGGAAAATTTGAATTTACGTCACTTTCCTGATGTCATATCCAATATATGGTGTCATGGCTGATGAAAATGTGTAATATTTTGAAGTCTCCCTCTGGTTTAAAACGTAACTATAGATTTTTTCCGTCAAAGTTTGATTTGGGGGGCAAATATTGGTTATTAGCAATAGCAACATGTATGCTTAATATCTAAAAGTATGTAAAGTATGTAAATTCCTTCATAAGAAATTCGATTACTAGTAACTAGTCAAGTTCAAAGGTCACAAGGTCGGTAACCATGGTATTTTACAAAAGCCAAAGTGCCAAGCAATATATATGTGCAAAATATCATACCTCTTATAGTTCTCAAGATATAGGGTGTAAAAGACAGATGCTAGGTAAAGTGATCCCTAAGTGTCACTCTGCTGTGCAGGAGACACAAAAATTCGAGTATTAATTTTTCCCTTCCACACTAAGAAGCAAATCACTAAACTATACTGCTCATAACAAATATCGACATTTAGATTATGTTTGTGCCCTTGGCTAAATGAACTTAAATATTTCTTGGAAATTTAAAAACTAAAGATACAAATTTTGTGTCATAATAGTGTATTTTTAAGGTATTGTGTCTCCATGTTATTGTTAACTGAAGAATGTATATTTTTATGCATACTTGAAGCATAAGTATAATATCTCAAAAAATTATGGAGTGAACACCCATTCATAAGGAAAAATTGTGATTAAGTATGAAGAATTGATCATTTTTGCCCTCTTTGATGTATGTATGCTTCATTTCATAGATAAATAATTTCAATCTTTGTGAGATTTTTGGAATTTGTAGAGATTTTACATAAAGTATACATTAAATAAATGTTAAATGAAATGTCAAAGAGAATTTTGCCATGATTGAGATTTAATTTTTCACTTTCTTTTTTGTCATTTTGCTTGTCTTCCTTTGAACACATTCTAAACAAAAAACTAAGGCGAAGTGATTGAACTGAAAAAATTCAAGATGGTGACTATGGAGAACCTTATTACTATTGTATGGGAATATTTTTAATTATAAAGAAATATTTAAAACTTCAAGTACTTGTGGGTTTATAAAGTACCATTGTTTGTTTGTGCAGAGCTTATTAAGTAAGTGTTTTGCTTGTTGTAATGTCAACATAGCAAATACTTGCATATGAACACCTTCAGTGTAAACCAATTTATAGTAACTTTATACATGAGTGTATTTAATTGATTTTAGCTTTGTGAAGATTTAAAGAAAAATATTGCTTGCTTCTTAGGTGACTTTCATGACCCATGGGCCTCAGTCTCATTTCTACCCTGAACAAAAACTGAGTATATACACAAACAATGTATATTGTTTGATACTAATATGTATATATGTGTACTTAAATATCAGTACTATATCTAAATTTAATCATCAGTTAAAGTGAGTTTTGTTTCCCAAGGTGCAGCAGTACCAATAAACATGATAAATGTTTCAGCGTGGAAAGGAAGGAGGTTTGAACACCATGAGGATTTATCTGTCAACCTTATCTATGAATTACTTTAACATGTGACCATAAAATCATTAAAAACAAAGTGGCAAAGTCTTCAATTGTTCTATAAAATTGATATCTGTGTGGTGTATACATGTATATATTATATGTAATATGTCTCAGACAAAGACGTGTATGTGTAATTAGATCTGGATAAGTCTCGTTGTCATGACAAATTTAACACATTCACCTTTAGGTATCATCTGCAGTTCAAAAGTTCCACTCACAACATCTTTAGCTCTATTGATAATTCATAAAAAATGATTTTTCAACTACAGTCATTTTTTTTTTTGTTCGATTGAAATGTTTTTCAAATAGCAGGAATATAATACAAATTTTTCTCTTAATTGAATGCCAGTAGATTTTATATTATATTATTTAGAATACATGTGTTCTAAAATTAAATGTACACTGCTGAACTAATTTACATGTACCATATTGTATTCAACTTTGTAGTTTCTTGGGCCTGTTTGCTGGCTGGAAGAAGCCCCAAAGCTTTCTTTTGTTGAAGGATATTTTCCAGTGTTATTAGCATGACATCTGTGATGCAAAAAATCGAGAATGAATTTCTAAGCTCAATTTTTGTCCACTTTATTTTTATTAATTTTTGTTAATAATGTTTTTACCTGAGTTGCTCAGGTGACCTTTGCCATCTGTTTTTGTTTAGTGTTGTTTGCTGTCCATCATGTGTTAACATTTGAACATTTTCAGCTTCTTCTCTAGAACCACCAAACTAATTTCAACCAAATTTGGCATATAGCATCTATGGATGAAGGGAAACAGAAATTCTGAATTTCATGTTCCCTGCCCCCTGTAACCTAAGGGGTAGGGCTAAAACCATAAAAAATTAATGATATCTCTAAAAATCTTCTCAAGCAGTCAAACTGTTGGCATGATTGCATTAAGCATTGATTCCTGTACCTAAAAGTGAAATTCATGGCCCCAGGGTCAGGGGTTCTGGAAATAAGACGGGGCTCTATTGGTCATATAGTGACAATGCATAAATTCTTTTAAAAAAAAAAACCTCTTACATGTATCTCTCCCTGTATATCTAGCAGACACACTAAATGCATGGTTATGTATTGTACAGTTGCTACTAAGTACTAGACAAGCTATTTTGTTGATCCCTGATCATGCTATTTCTTTTGTATTTGAGCAACATGTCTTTATCTATCAGTTTATTTTGTTTTATTTTATACCTCTGTGTTGTATTAAACTCAGGTGAACATTAAGGCCCTTGGGCCTCTTATTTTAGGATGTTACATGCATGTATGACCTCTGTGTGCACATATATTTGGTTCTTCTTACAGTCCCTGCCAGATAATGAAATCCACACATATGCCAGCACCGTCCGAGAGAACGAGGAGCTGACCACTAATCTGTACTGTGTGTTTGAAAGCCTCCCTCAAGCCCAGGTTTGTCCATAATCGAATCATTTTGATTTTGGGAAATTGATGTTCATCAGCAATCAAAATTTTACTGGTTCATTGGAATAAAATTTTATTTGTAACAGAAGATTCAATTAACTGAAACATGAACAGGATTATAGTTCATGTGGATGTAAATTCAAGAGTTAGGGTGATCCACTAAATCCAAGAACACTGGCTGCCATGAACAATGATGATTTACTAGTTATCTTTGGAGTGGATCTAGAAATGAACTTACAAGGATTTGATATATTAATCAGAAACTGCATCAAAATCAAAAGAAAAGGTGACTGTTCTGAAAGAAACTTACGTGCTTAGAATCTTGGTGGGGAATGTTTTTGTTTGGTGAAGTAATTTACAAAATCATCAATATGTCTTCAGTTGTGTATAAGGTGATACAAACATCAAGTATTTGAATGGTTAAAATTATACAGTTATTAACTTGCCTAAGAACAACAGCTGTTTTGTTTTTGCCCAAGAACTTAAGCCATGCTCAAAGTCTGTGGACAAGGATCTAGTTCAAGGATCCAAAGTCAAAAAAAGATCACTATCAAAAAAGCTACTATAACCCGGGCCTAGTTAGACCTGAAATGATAGGTAAATTTAAGTCATTCCGTGATCATTAAGGTTTAATATTTTTACTCCATAATTCTCCTGACTTCTAATAAAATTTCATGCACTCTCTTCATGATCACCAATGCTTGTTGGTACATGTATATTGTCAACATCAAGTATGCTTTTGCCTCTGTGCCTGAATTTAGCCCTTATACTGGATTTTCCTGAAAGTGTTTCAGGGATATGGTGCTCAAAATAAACGGAAAACATTTATTTTTTAGACAGACATTTAAACTTTGACATGTGATTCCATCCTTGGAGCTGCAAACATAAAACTATACATACTGGCATAGTTGATGATTCCTTGACAATAGGAGAAAGAAGTATATAGTACACAGTTTGATCCATCAGTAGATCCTGTGTACAGTTGAACTTGGGTATCTCAAACACTGATACCTCCAAAACCATGGATATGTCAAAGTGATTTTGAAGTCCCTGTAATAACTTTTTCTTTAGTATTTTAACCTTGATATCTTGAATCCTCAGATATCTCAAACCCATTGAGTTTGAGATAACAAGGTTTGACTGTATTTATACCCTTTTCAATAATCTCATACATATAATGCCTCCGTAGATCTAATCTATTCTGCTATCTACACATCTTATGGTATCCTTTGGTGTTCCATTTTTGGTTTGATTGCAGGTTACAAATTGAAGATGTCAGTCCATTTATCCAACTTATTGTCTGTCTTTTTGTCGGTGTTTGCAGTTTTGTTAGCTTTGTCATTTCGCTCTATAGTAGGAGACCTATTCAAAGTTTATTTCAAACTTCATAAAAGTAGAATGAGATGTATTTAATGATGTCCCTGTGTTGGCCTTGATCCTTAACTTTGATACTAGTAAATGAAAGACATAAATATATCTTATCAATGAAATTTTCTGATTTGCTTTTACTTTCACAAAAGTAAAGTAGGTAGAAATTTGGAAAATGGCCAGTGGAGTTTGCCTTGACCTTAAAATTGATATGAGGGTAGTCAAAAATTTATGTCACTATAATTACTATAAAATCTTTAATAATAGGAAGTCATCAACAAAATTTTATATACTAATACCTCTATTCGTTGTAAGTGGTGCCAAAAAAAATTTCACTAAGATACATTTAATACATTTAATACTTTTTAGCTCACCTGAGCATAAAGCTCAAGTGAGCTATTCTGATCACCTGTTGTCCGTCGTCTGTCTGTAAACTTTTCACATTTTCAACTTCTTCTCGAGAACCCCTGGACCAAAGCTGGTACAAAGCATCCTTGGGTGAAGGGAAAGCTAAATTGTTAAAATTGAAGGACCAAGCCCCCTTACGATGGGAGATAATCAAGAAAAGACAAACATTAAAAAATCTTCTTCTCAAGAACCACTGGACCAGAAAGGCTAAAACTTATGTGGAAGCATCCTTGGTTATTGTAGATTCTAAATTGTTCAAATCATGGCCCCTGGGGGAAGGGTGGGGCCACCATAGGGAATCCAAGTTTTACAATGAAATATATAGAAAAATATCTAAAATCTTTTCTCAAGAACCACTGGGCCAGAAAAGCTGAAACTTATGTGGGAGCATCCTGGGGAAGTGTAGATTCTAAATTAATCAAATTATGACCCCCTGAGGAAAACTAACAATACACAAGACCATGAAGACCATGACAAGAATGTGAAAATTGTTCCTACAACTCAAAGCAAGAAGTTCTAGTACAAGGTGGCAGTGTATAGATGAAATAAAACATTTAATGAATTTGTGGATGAATTGAAAATAAGTTCCAAACAGTAACACTATGAAGACATTGGTAACACTGTTGTCGTGCGGGGATAGTATCCTTTCTTTGTGTTTATCTTAATATATAAAAAGGTTTTATATGTATCTGAATGAAATTTTCAGACAACAGTCAAAATGATGAGAGATATTAGTATAAAAAGATTTGTTGATGTCTTTCTGTTAATTAAAGATTTTATAGCAGCTGTGACATTACTTTTAGATCAACCTTTGTAAATGAAAAAAATATATAAGTCTGTTAGAGATTGCCCATTCCGAATTTTATCTTCAGATGATTCACTAATTCATAGTGATCGAGTGTCAAAGTTGATTTTTACTTTGAGAGTTTTAAAACCAAAATGTTTATTTCTGTTAAAGTTTACATATATTATAAGGATCTTCCATGGCTTGTGGTTAGATATAATTTTTTATCCATTGGTAACAAGTTGTGTGTTTTTATCCCTGAGTCTTTGGTGAAGGGATGAAAACAAACAATGAGTTAGATAAAAAAAAAAATTCACATCCAACCACAAACCATGGGAAATTCTTTTTATCACACGTTTTACACATTTTACACTGTTTTATATAATTATGTAAATCCAAAATATTTGATTTGATCAAATTCATGCAAAGACCATGTAACATCACAACTGTAGATATGAAAACGATATCCTATGAGCTATATCCACTGCATGAAGGAGTAAACGTGTGATAAATTTATTTACATATTACATATACATGTAGGTATAATAGGATAAGAGGTTCCACTTTTTCAAGTTGTTTAGGTTATATGCAACATACAAGTACAGTCATGTACATGTACTTTACAATGTACTTTTCCCATTGATAATTTTCTAAGATACAGTCTTAATTTAAAGTTGCTTCCTTCAATAATTGGAACTCTTATTATAAATTTTACTAGGAATGAGAAAATTAAGTTCAAAACAATGTCTTAATTATTTTCTAATCATAAGATTCAAATCATGATACCTATAAGATGGTTAATGAACGCAGTCTTATATCTCTACACAACATGATTTTAGGTGTAATAATATTTTCCATCTTTCCCTTCTATGTTACACTTTGTCGTCTAACTTGTTTTCTACCTGAGATTTCTACCTGTGTGTGATGTCTAATCCGTATTGATTTCAGTATTAATTACATATCTATGTTACACCCTTTAAAAGCTGCTTAAAAATACTCAAAACCAGTAATGAGATCAAATATTGTGGTTTCCATGGGAACCTCTCCAAAGGTTTGGAGGAATTTCACTACTGATTGACTGTCATCATTGGATCATATTTTGGCTGTATACTAAAGTTGATGATATATTATACCTAAAACCAAGAAAAATCACAAAATCATTATTGAAAACATTTTTTTTTTTCAGTACATGGCCATTTATCTTCAAAGTTAGCACAGATTTTAGATCAGTCAGGCTAATTAAATTATGTTGCACTTGTTTTGAAAAAGCAAATTACTTCACTGTTTTATACTATTAAGTATGGCAAGGTTAAAATAGGTACATATTGTCACCAGTGACAATATATACCTCCTCTCACTGTGCACAATATATTGTCATCCATTGGTACATTTTACATATTGGTGACAACATGTGCCATGTTGAGCTTATTTCCTCCCTGCAGAATAAGCGACAAAATATACCGGTACCTTACACACTACCGCATATTGGTTGGTGATGATAATGCGAACATTTGTATATTTTGTTGCCAAAAGTATTGTTTGAAGAATGTTTTACGGGGGTTGGAGAGAAAGGCAAAGAATAATATTTTTGGTATTTCTAATGAATTTAATCATTTTAACCACATCATTCTCCCTCTCCACAGCACAACTTGTATTTTAAACTAGTAAACTAATTGTTCAGAGAACAATTAGAGGTCTTTCCACCTTTTTAAGTGTTTCCATGTCATTTGGGCTGAAAAAAATGCCCAAGAAAGAAAAAAAAAGGAAAATGCAATAAATCCAAAAAAAAAACAAAACAAAACAAAACAAAAAAAAAACCTCCTACAGCTGGGATCGAACTCAAAACCCTTGGTTTGAAAGGCAGGTGCACTAACCATTAGGCCACGCACTCCGATAACAATAGTATGTTAAAATGTTTAGGACTATAGAATAATTGCAAGCGTATTTTTAGAATCGGTAGGGGAAGAAAGAAGTTCCGTAAAAGGAAATAGTTCCTGAATTTGCAAGCAGTATATTAAATAATAAGGGACGGGCTGCGTAAGAAAACATTAACACTGTTCCCTAATGAAAATGTATTAATGGACTGTAGCCCGATTCATCGATATTGTGAGCATGCTGAATTTTTTGTAAATAGCTTTGTTGTAAGCTTAAAAGATCGGGTTCGGATTTTAACATTTCTGACTGAATATCCTGAAATAACTACGAAACATTTAGATAAGCATTTCTTTGGGTTAAATTAAATATGTGTATCACAAATTAAACTCCCAACATGCATTTTTGGAAGGGAAAGACGACGATGAAAGCGAGAATTGTTTTTAATCTACCGAAAATCGCTATTTCTGGAAACTGATTAATTCTAAATAAAAATCAAATAAATTCCAAATGTAAAAGAAAGAGAGAATGCTTGGTATTAAAATGTTGTATCATATCAGGAGAATCGAATGCTGCTAACGACATATGAAGAAATAGCCGATAAAAGGTTTAGATCATTTCTTCGTTCACCTGCACTTTAATTACAAACACAACAGAACTTGTAGTTTTTGCCGTGAAACTTCAAGACTTCTATAAACTTATAGGACTCACCGTAAAACTCTCCAGAAACTTTCTCTGAGGTCTATACTACAATTGTACCAAATATGGTGTCGATCCGAGGTCTGGTTTGAATTTGACAGAAATATTCTACGTTGTTGTTGATGTGATTTTTTTTTTTTTAAGAAGGGGGGGGAGGAGGTTAATTATTTATTTTATGCCTCTTTTAAACTAAGAATTGTAACTACTTCCACATCCTTAAGCCTGATTGTGACCTTGGGTCAAGGTCAAAGGTCAAGGTCATTTGGTAAATTGCCATATTTTACACATATATAAGGAATTTCTAATGTTTTTAAATGACCTTAACCTTTGACCTTGACCTATATTTCAAGGTCAAAGGTCGAGCATGCCCACGCAGTTGATCCCATGTCTCTAGGATACACCGTTTTAAAAAAAAAGTTCATTAAATGTAAGCAGCGTAAACTTTCAGGGGCAGTAACTCATACGAGGGACCAAAGAATGCTTTCGCAATGATAGAATGAAGAGAGTACTAAATGAGTCGAAGACACTGATGAAAGTTTGGAATCTCTACGGTTTACGGTTTCGGAGGAGTAGCGATAACAAGGTTTTGTTGCACAAGGGGTGACAACTTTTGAATGGGTCAAGCTCGGGGGACAAGAATGAAATCTTTGAAATAGTTTTAGAAGGACATATTATAGATGCAAAGATATTCAGTATATGTTGAAAGACAAAAGAGATATTAAAAAAGCTAATTTTCTCATATTTTGAATGACCTTGACCTTTGACCTCTATATAAATTTCAAGGTCAAAGGTCACACACGCCAATGCTATTGGTCCCATGTCTCTACGATTAATCGTTTAGAAAAAAATTAATTATTCGTAACCATCAAAAACTTTCAGGGGCAATAACTAATTAAAGGGGTTTATGCAACCTTTCGCACTGAATAGATTGAAGAGTCTACTAAATTAGTCAAAGACATTAGTGAAGGTTTCGTATCTCTACGGTTTAGGGTTTCGAAGGAGTAGCGATAACAAGCTTTTATTGCGAAAGGGGTTGTAACTCCTTGAGGGGTCAAAGTTCATATACGCAGGGTCAACTGTAAAAATCTTTTACGAAGTGCATTCTTATGGACCATAAATCTTTTCGATAACTGTTAAAACAAAAAACCATTCGGCGGAAAAATAATAAAAATAATAATAATAATAATAATAATAAACAGAACAATTTCAATAGGTCTTTCCACAGAAAGGTGGAAAGACCTAATGAAGCATTTTATTGCAGATCATTATAGAGATATAATGCTTCATTATAGAGATAAACATTAATAACAATTGTACTGTAACAGGAAAGGAGAAAAATGCAACAGACAGACTGTGATTTAGAACCTGAGCTCCCTGAATCTCCAGTCAGGTGCTCTACTAACTAAACTGATTGCTGGTGGTCAGATAGCTCAGTTTCAGAGAGCCTGAGTTCGAATCCAGGTCTAGTTCGTCACATTTTTCTCCTCTCATGTTGCATGAAGTGCCATGCCATGCCTGGAAGTGACAGGTGAAAGACCTGCCAGCGAAGAGCCTGGGTTGGTGTCTTTGGGGGCAAAGCACTAAGTACATTCACAATACTACAAAAAAAAATCCTTAGGCCCAAACTGTGGTGTGACAAGATTTGCAGTGAGGGTAGGCATGCACATATTGTCACCAGGGACAATATTGTAAATGTATAATTTTTCATCCGGTGACAATATGTTCTGATGGATGATAATAATTGCAGTGAGTTAGGTGCATATTGTCACCAACAATCATGGCCGTAGGAACCGGGGGGGGCACGGGGGGGCTGTGCCCCCCCCCCCCAATAATTTTGCCGATATATAGAATACTATAGAAAACATAGCTTCTACATGCTTGTGCCCCCTCATTAATAACGTATGATGACCTTTTTTTTTTTTTTTTTTTTTTTTTTTTTGCTTGTCAAGGAATTTTGGAGTCGATAGTGCCCCCTCAACTGAAAATGTATGATTGTGCCCCCTCAAAGTGAAATTGCTTCCTACGGGCCTGACAATATGCACACAATGACAATATGTACTGATGTCACATACATGTACATGCATGAAGAAATTGAATGATAGTAATTTGCATAAAAGTGTCTAATGAATTACTTTACCAACTGTATGCTTTAGGTTCTGGACCCAATCTGTCATCAGCTGTTTGAGTTCTACAGATCCAAGGAACCGGACCTGAGGACATTCAGTAAGGAGTTCATACCTGTCGTTATCTGGGTCTACCTTTCTGCCCTAAGCACGTCAGGAAAAAAGGTACATTTGTAAAATACATGTACCCTATATACTCACCTATAAGTCGGTTTTTTGGGAGTTAAATTTTGGTCCAAAATTCTTTATCCGACTTATATGCGAGTTATAAAAAGATCGGTATTTTAGTGGGTCAATCCCTCTAATTTAAGCTTAATAAACTACAACCGACTTATAGGTGAGTATATATACGGTAGCATACAGGCATCATGTTAACTGGTCATGCAGGGATAGGGCCAATTACTTTCAAAAGTAATTGGTTATTTATTTACAATGACTTTGGATTTAAAAAGTAGTCAATTACAAGCTGATCACAGCCATTCCTTAAAATTACTTGTGATTACTCAAGATTACATTAATTTTTTAAAAGCCTTTTTCCTATAAATCATTTTTAGCTCACCTGAGCTGAAAGCTCAAGTGAGCTTTTCTGATCGAAATTTGACCGTTGTCTGTTGTTGTTGTTGTTGTCATCATTGTCGTAAACTTTTTCACATTTTCATCTTCTTCTCCATAACTACTGGGCCAATTTCAACCAAACTTGGCACAGAGTATCCTTGGGTGAAGGGGATTCCAGTTTGTTCAGATGAAGGGCCATGCCCCCCCTCCAAGGGAAGATAATTACAAAATAGCAAAAAATTAATGGCATCATTGAAAAATCTTCTTCTCAAGAACCAATGGGCCAGGAAAGATGATTCAAGAAATTTAAAATGAGCACATTATCATATGTAAAAATATTTATTTTGTTTAAGTGTGAAGTTTCATTCTATGTGCTTAAATAGAATTCATGTTTTTTAATTTTAGAATCAACACGTTATGTATCCACGAAGCAAACTCAACAACACTGTAATGTCAAAAACATACCGACATGAGGTTCTCAAAAATACTATCCCCATACATTTCACACAGTATTATCCAATACAAGAGAGCTAATTAAAACATTTCTTTATCAATTGAAATCTATTTTGCTAACAATTATTCCAGTACCATTTTGTTTGTCAGTGTTATTTTTTTTTTCACTGCTTAAGTGTGCTTTCACAAGATCGGCATCTGTGAAGCACCAAACTCTTAAGCATGACGTTACTAACGTTTCAATGTTTTTGAGAAGATTTTTACAGATAATCTGTTTTCTCACAGATCACCATCGTCTAAGCAGAGTTCTATCATTCAAATTCCACAATTGTATGGTTAACTGCTGCTCTGTGACCTACTGCGACGTCATCTTTTTTGCATTTTTCAATGAGGACTACCTATCTTCTGAAACTGATTTCTTTTCAAGGAAGCAAAATATTAAGTCATAATTTGGCATCAGAAACGATGAAACAATTCTTAATTTGAAAATATAGAATATTTTTTTCATTTTTGTGTCATTTTACAGAAGATATGACTTCAGACATTATTAAGTTGATTGATTGGAAATTACAAAATTTTGACCTGTTCCGTTATCCAATTTTCGCATTATTTAAACCTAAATAATTTTGAAATAAAACACGATATTTTAAAATTTTTTAATACACATCATTTGAATTTACTGTTGAAGTATTTCCTTTAAATTTGGATATAATATGGCGTTAAGTAAAAAAGTTATGACGGTAGTCCACGAACTTTTCGAACAACCCTTGTATGTAAGAATCTTTAGTTAATGTAAATTTAATTTTGTTCAAATCATAAATTTTCAATGGCCTACTTCAATACTGGCAATTAACGTCCTTGAAATAACAGTACCGGTATATCTTGCACACTGACTTCATTCTCTATACTCCTAAGGGATGTTTAAGTTGTCCTTATTTTCATGCTTATGTGTAAATAAGAAGATCATTTAGATGTCTTTACTGCCAATTTGTCATCAGAGACATGTAAAGTAAAACAATCACAAAGTAATGGCAAAGGACCTCACAGAATTAAGAGACATGCTTAAAATCACCGTAAAACTCCAAAGTCCCAGAAGTGCCAAATGTAAAGAGTAACATCCATACCGGCCATGAAAATAAGTCAAAGAATACATTCAAAGTCAAGCATACTGTAGATTCCTTAGTATATGTGAGGAATTGAGAAGCACCACTCATGGAATAAAAATACTCACTCGTATGTTTATATTGCTGAAATACATGTAATATGTCTTCATAATTAGTCCATTGGCAAATTCATGCTTTAGCAATTTGACATTAATGAGTCATTTCACAATTTTAAGTACAAGAGTATTATTAAGAATCTACAGTATTTTGCTCGAAGAATGCATATTGGTTATACCAAAATACTCTGAAATCACTCATTTTTTCATGGCCACCATGAAATTTCAAATTTAATATATATATATCTCTACTCAACAATTTTTCATCTATGAAATTAAACCCCTATATTTTTTCCTCAAACCACAAAAATATGTGATTTACGGTATGACTGTTGTTAAAAAAATTGTTTGTTGTGTTGACTAAGGCAAATTAAACTGCATAGACTTAAAAAGTTTAGAGCCACTATGAAATAAATTTTTGATGACTTGCATGTTACTTAAGAAGTAAATCCCAGTTGGTTGGGACATGTGAGTGACAAACTTATGAAAATTGATGGTGGCTTTGCATTATTTGGGAATAGGTGTTAATTCTGGTGGCAAGAAATTGATTATATAAATTGTGAATGATTTGACTTTTTTTTTTTTAATTCCAGACTGTAAGAGGACTTGAAGCATTCCTGCTTGGTGTCTACAATCTGGTAAGATTTTTGTGATGGTATATAGACACAGTTTCTATCTCCCAGTCATAAAAGACAAGGGATACAGAAAATAAATACCCTATTCACACATACACTTTAATTTTGAATTCAGTTCCTTAATAATCCTTAGAACAGATTATGTTCATATATGTTCTGTGTAAAATTTCTCTGAAGTTGTCAATGCACACTCATGAAGTCGATGGATTGACAATCAAATTGATGTTTGTTTGGTACTAATGACAATGCATTTGGGCCATTTCTCCCAATTTTCATTGAAACCTGCATTACATCCGTATAATATTGCACTATATTCTAATAATCTTTCCACGTAAAAATTCTTACTTCTGCAGCAGTAAGTTGTTTCCTCTTGTTTGAATTCTCAATCCCCACCCCCACCCCAACCCCAACCCCCAAAAGAGAACCTATGAAAATTGACTTAGGAAACATTCCTGAATACTATACATTTATTGAATAATCATTAGGAAAATATGAAGATTTATTCAGCCAAGAAAAATCATACTTCCCGAGGGCTTCGCCCGAGGGGAATATGATATTTCTTGGCTGAATAAATCTTCATATTTCCCTCATGTTCATGCAATAAATTGTTTATTATACTGGAACAAGCAAAAACTTTAAAAATAAACATAAACTTTCAAATTCTGCACCGCTGTTAAATACTTTCAATTTTAATGTAGTGTTACTGAAACAATTTACAGAAGTCCATCAGCAAATTTGTGATGTGAATCAGGCTATTGTGATGTCAACTACTCTCAGGGGTTTTCGTTCAACGAACGATATTTATTGTGGGAAAATGCACTAGGTCTCCAAAGAGGTTGAATATGGTGAAAAGCATGACAACAACAGGGAAATATGAAGTTTTATGGCCCTGTCACATGATAATATAAAACCAATCAGAAAACATGTTGTATAGAATAATCATAATGAGGTATAATAAATATATTTATCACATGTTTACAACTTTATCCATGGATATCACTTATGGGATATTTTTTTCATATCCAACTGTTGTGACGTAACAATTGGTTTTGCATAAAAGTAATGAAGTAAAATAATGTAGATTCATATATGAAAACAGTGTAAAAAATTGACATTATGTAAAAAAACATGTAATAAAAAGAATCTCCTATAACTTGTGGTTTAATATGATTTTTATCCAGCTCGTTCTATGTTTTTCATCCCCTCACCAAGGCTCGGGGATAAAAAACACACAACTCATTGGATAAAAAATCATATCCAGCCACAAATCAGGGGAGATCCTATATAATAATTATATTTAATTTTCATGGGGTTTAATTTTTGTTGTTTTTGAGAGATGAAGAGACTCATGAATTCTTGTCCTCCATGAATTGTAAAATTGCATAATAAATAACTGCTCAACACATCTTCAGTTGCGAAATCAAATCCCCATGAACCAACATTTTTTCCCAAACCACAAAAATTTTTACTCCTTGAAAATATGTGCTTTTACAGAAAATGGTTCAAGGTAAGAAGTATTCGCAAGAGAAAGGTCGCCAAACTTCAAGAAATTTCTCACACGGTTTACTTTTGGAATTACATACTTCATAATTAAATTTTGGGTCATATGAACAGGGTATCAAAAAGAGCTAGTCATGAAATGTTTTTTTAAGGTAAAGAATTTTAAAGATTGTTTTCTTTGGAGAATTACTTTCAATTTATTGTTATTTACTTAATTTCTTTGGGGATATTTTTATGGAATCATAGATTTGTGTGGGTTGCTGTTAAATACTCAGTTATGGCAGGTAGTCTATTAGAGAGCTGTTGCATGACTTACATAAATCATGGTTGCAATTGTCTAGCAGCAATACCTTCTTTTGTTTGTTTGTTTTCTTATTTTGTTGCAAAATGCACATATTCAAAAATGTTTAGGTATTTCTGCTGATAATATTTTTTGACGTAGATTCAAAAAGAGTGATTGGAAATTCAGTTTTTCAGCATGCCAGGAACTATCCTGCACTAACAATATCGGTAAAACACAGATTTTTAGAGATAGAGATGTAAATTTCATAGGATCATTCCAAATACTTTTTTTGTTATTCACCTAAAATGCAAATTTAAAAAGTATACAGATTTGTACCATTTGTACAAAACTGCAGTTCAACGGAAAAGGGGGTCTTGAAAACTCTTACAGTACAGTTAAACATTGTTATCTCAAACTCAACGGGACCAAGGAAAAACTAGAAAAAAGAGATATCTGAGGATCCAAGGAATTGAGAGTAAAATACTTAATAAATGATAAGTGGTTGGGACTTCCAAATCACTTTTACATATCCATGGTATTCAAGATATTGGTGTTTGAGATACCAAAGTTCAGCTGTATATACATGTAACTGTATATTCCTGGAAGCTGATAATGTACATACTAATTGTTTGATTAAATGGGTAGACTTAAGAGAAATTATATGGAGATCGATCAAGTATGATTTTTGAAAAGTATATTTGCAACACATCTGCATGCTGCCTTAAGGAAGGCGTGTTGTTAAGCTGTTCAGCTTCTTGACAAGACTCTGAAGTGATATACTTGTATGCCACAAGACCATTTAAAAGTTAATACCAGTAAAATGCTCACAAGGGAAAAAAATATTCTCTATAATTATAGCTAGCTTTTTTGCAGCATTTAGCATCTCATTTGCAGCCAATATCTAATGGTTTTGTTGATGGTCTACCTTTAATTTACCTGAGAATGACTGTTCTTAGCTCCTCATTAGTTTCAGACAGGTGTTCACAATCTGTCTCTATCATCATAAGGTTTTTTTTCTTCTTATAGATTTCCATTCCTTTGTGTCTGTCTTAACAATGAGCTTGTTATTATGTAATTCTTGAAGTAAGATTAAGAAAAATTATACTGTGGAATTGTCATAGAAATGAAACTTAATTGATTTTTTTATGTGTTTTCATTAAAATGGATGAACAAATTTAAGTTTTGACTGTCATCCATAAGATAAACACTGTCTCTGACTCTGCATGAAGATCGTAATAATGATTGTTGCTTGTTGTGCTAAAAAAGTTGCAACTCCTTAGGATGGAACATTTTTGGGGAGGTAAGCTCCTGCCCCAAAACTATATATCCATGTGTGTGGAATAAACAGAAATACTATGTTTTGCATAAATTATGAAAAATGTTCAATTTCATTCTTTTTTTATGCTTGGATTTCATAGTTCCTTGATCTTGCTTTTTAGCTCACTCAGCTAAAGGCTCAAGTGAGCTTTTCTGTTCACCTGGTGTCTGGCATCCATCTGTAAACTTTTCACATTTTCAACGTCTTCTTAAGAACCACTATACCATAAAAGCTGAAATTTATGTGGATTAGCCTCCTGAGGCATTGTAGATTCTATATTGTTCAAATCATGGCCCAACGGGGGATAAGGTGGGGCCACAATAGGGAATCAAAGTTTTACATTGAAATATATTAGGAAAAATCTGTAAAAAAAAAAAAAAAAAAAAAAAAACACTGGACCATAAAAGTTGAAACTTTTGAGGAAGCTTCCTGAGGTAGTGTTTAAAGCTTGGCCCCCGGGGGTAGGGCGGGGCCACAATAGGGAATCAAAGTTTTACATTGAAATATATAGGAAAAATCTGTAAAAATCTTCTTCTCAAGAACCACTTGATTAGAAAATTTTAAACTTATGTGGAAGCTTTCTAAGGTAGTGTAGATTTTAAATTATTCAGTTCATTGCCTTTGGGGGTAGGGTGGGGTTGTAACTAAGTTTTACATTGAAATATATAGATTTTTTTTTTCTCAAGAACTACTGGACCAGGAAAGGTGAAACTGATGTGAACATTTCCTGAGGTAGTATAGATTTTAAATTGTTCATATCATGTCCCCTGGCATCAGGTGGGGCCATAATAGGGATTATATAGGGAAAAGTCTTTGAAACTCCCCACATATGAATGTGGAAGCATGTTCTGGTAGTGTTGATCCATTTTTGCTCAAATCATGGCCCCTGTGTATAGGATGGGGCCACAAAAGGTGATTAAAATAAAGAGGAAAACATGTATGTTGGAGGAAAATCTGATGCAGAACAGCAGGACCAAAGTGACTAAGGTGTCTGAGCATTGTGGCCCCTGGGTCTCTTGTTTCTGAAAGTCATAAAACAAATTTTATTGATATTCGAAAGTTAATTTTCTAATCCATGTAATAACAAGATTTTTGTCTTCACAAATAAAACATCTTTTGATATGCTGATTTTACAATCAGCTATGATACGAGTAAGTATATAGATGAATGCTGAATGGATCTGAGGATTTTTATGCCTCCACCATGAAATGACTGGGACATATGTTGTTACCTCTTTCCATCAGTCATTCCATCATTTCATTCCTTCATTCTTACATAGTTTTATGGACTTATTTTTGCTGTGCTCTGACATAAAATTAAGAATTGATATCTAAGTCTGAAATTTTTAATCTGTACAATGAAATTAGTTGAATCTCATTTTGTTTTATTTGTATGTGCCAAAGTCAAAATCTTCGTCCCTACATGGAAATTTAAGTCATCTACAAATTTATTATACCCCACGCAACAAGTTGCGTAAGGTATAATGTTTTTGACCTGTCCGTCAGTCAGTCAGTCAGTGTGTCAGTCAGTAAGTCAGTCTGTCAGTCCTGTTTTTTGTCAGCGCAACTCCTCATAAACCGCTGCACAGAATTTCGTCAAACTTTGCAGATATTTAGCACACAATGTGTAGATGGACATATTACCAGGAAATTCTGATTCCTTTATTTTTTCTGGGAATTTCGGCACTTTTCAACTTAGATTTTTGGCCATATCTTGAATATAGAGATGAACAGTTTGTCAGTGCAACTCCTCTTAAACCGCTGCACAGAATTTGGTTTAACTTTGCAGATATTTAGTACACAGTGTATATATGTGCGTATTACCAGGAAATTCTGATTCCCTTATTTTTCTGGGAATTTCAGCACTTTTCAACTTAGATTTTTGGCCATATCTTGAATATAG